ACACCACCTCGTTTAAAAAAAAACTCCGTTAAAAAAAAATAAACTCTGTCCACACGTACCCGGATAAATACGTTGTTAAGGACATGCCAGACCTGTAGGAGGCAGTACTTCCCCCGTTCTTAACCTCGTCCTTCGTCTGTGGTCTTCCACAAGGAGCAGTAATTCCGCTTGCAAAAACAAACAAGCAAAAATCGCTTGGACAACTGATAAAGCGAGCGCAGCTCTGAGGGCATCCATGCTGTCGGCTAGTGTAAACACAGGTCGCATACGTGATGTCAGCATTTTTTTGTCGCGGAAAGTGACGTTGCGGACCTTAAAACTCCGGTTTTGTCCGTCCACACGCAGACACCCAAAACGGAGAAAACGCAGATATTTTACTTTCTGTACATGGCCACAGACAACATAGTTGTATGCATCTAACGATTTGTATGCCCGTAGCTTCTCACGTGTGTACTTACTGGGCCTCTCCACTAAAAACGTATATATGTCGGCCACGCACCTACATCTTCCACCCATTCCGTAATGCCACAGGGATCCGGGTCTGTTGCCATTCATTAAAGTGAGTTTAATAACATAACATTCATGATTTGCCGGTGATAACCCCGCAGCGTAGCTTGATAAAGCCTGACACAACGCCATTCTCTGTTGCCAAGCTGCGCACGCATTCTCGCTGACGTCATATTGTTTACAAACAGTAAAAGGGTCTATAGGTTAATGTTTATCTGCCCTCCTGTCAAGCTCTTTCCCTTCCCATTTAGTGAATTGGTTCCACCAGTTTCTCCTCAGCTCACACTCCTCACACCTGTCACCTGTTTCCCTGATTACCTCCCTCTGCGTTTAAAAGCCTTGTCTTGTCACTCTGTGTTTGTTGGTTCATTGTAATTGTCAGCGTGTTCTGTCCTCCTCTAGTCACCCTAGTTCGTGCTCATGAGTGAGCTTCTGTTTGTTTGTTTGTTTGTTCGTTCAGCAAGTTTGTTATTTAGTCGGGTTTGTTTTGTGCCTCTGGTTTTTGGCTCATCCGCCTTTAAAATAAAGGAAGTGTTTTCTCAAGCCTCTCCTGCCTTGAGTCGTTCTGGGGATTCTGCATCTTGAGTCCTAACCTCCTGCTCTCACCGTGACATGTAGACTGCAGGAGGATGTCAATGCAAACCTGCAGACCTCAGTAGAAAGTTAAATGTTATTACTGCACGGGGTAAACACTTTTTTCAACACTAAATGGAAGAACTAGGTGGAAAAATGGTTTAGTTGCAGATTTATTTGGAAAACTGTTTTTTCAACTGAATACGAGCAGGAGAATCTGCGGAAAGGATGTCCAGCTCTGCAGCTAGCTAGCCTGTCTCAACCAGTTATGGATTTATCTGGCACTGGGAGGGGTTCACTGGGGTTTCACTTTTTATGCTTTCCAGATGACACAATTCTATTTATTTAAACTTTTATTTAAAGAGGAGTATGTTTATACGTTTATGTTTATTTATTTGGCAGACATTTTTATCCAAAGCGACTTACAATTTATAACCTATAGGGCATGTTGTGATCTGTGGAGTAACCACATGAGATCTGCCATCTCATTTTCATGAAGGTCCCATTAAAGAAAATAAAGAAAGCAAAGAAAAGTGACAGAAGGCAGCTGTAATAAAAACTGTACAATTAATGAGAGAAATAAATATTTATTGTAAATAATAGTAATTATAAAACACACTCAGACATATTTCACCCCCCCCCCCCCCCCATCTATCATACTACCTCAAAGCAGAAAGCATCATGTACGCAATTGTGTACAATAAACACCATGAACACTATCAAAATGCTCAAAATACAATTACCAAGGCCAAAACATTTATATGACTAACAAAAACAATAATATTAATAAACAAGAAAATTCATGAAGAAATTTTGAAAAGGGGCCTGCCACCTGGCACAAGACGGTTTTTATGCAAATTTAAAAAATGCCACACACTCAAAGTTTGAAAGGATTGTTCAAATCTGCCCATAAAAGTTTTTTAATAATAATTTCACCATGGTAAATCCGATCACTTAGAAATGTAGTGGCAGACCTCCCATGGCCGAGCCACTCGTTTTGATGTATCATATGTGAGGGTGCATGCCGCCGTTCGACCCGCATTTACGTTCGCGGAAGAAGAATAAAGGCGATTAATGTCAAAACTCCCTAGGTGTACAAGGGCCCTTAGTTTCTATAAACAGTGCACTCACATTTGATAACCATGAGATTGTAAAAACTCCCTTTTTCTTTTATCTTAGCCGTATTGCTAGGATTAAGCTATTCTTATCCAAGCCTTCATTAGAAACTATATTCACACTTTAATCCCTTAAAGGTGAGATAATTATTTGATTTATGCTGGATTGAGCCAGAAGGCTAGTATAAGACCAGATGGTTCAGAACAGCGCATCACGATGACTGGCGGTGAAAATTCAAATGATGGTGAAAACACGCTACCTTGGTTTTAGCAGCACTTCACTGGCTTCCAAACTGCTACAAGATTAGTTTGAAAATTGTTCTTCTTGCTTATAAGGCCTTGAACAACATGATTCCCATGTGCATGACAGGCGTGAGATGTTCAGCGTGCTCGCTTGGTCAGCTGACCAAATTCTATTAATCGTCTCTTCGGTTAAACTTAAATCTCAGGGACATTGTGCGTTTTCTGTTCTTGCGCCAACCTTGTGAAATATGAGGCCTTTGGGAATCAGACAGGCCCCTTTCTCGTAATTATAAGTGATGATTTTAAACTCTTTACTATTGTTTAGCTTTTGATTCAGGTAATATCTTTACATAAAATTTTTTAGTGCTTTTATGTTTATGTTTATGTATTTAGCAGATGCTTTTGTCCAAAATGGCTTACAGGTGATAATCAAGCCAGCAGGTTACCCTTGAGGCTGACAACAAACACTAATCAGTCAATCCTAGGTGGCGGTGAGGCAGCATGTTGAATATTAATATTAATAACGAATGATAGAGGGAAGCGAACATGGAGTGTGCAGTCGAGTGGAGGACGGGTGCTGGGCGGTTCTAGTTTAGAATCTCTGAAGAGCAGGGTCTTCAGGAGTTTCTTGAAAATTGACAAGGAAGCCCCTGTTCTGGTAAGTGCTTGCTAGGGTCATTCCACATCTGTGGAACGGCACATGAGAAGAGTCTGGATTGTCCTGAGCGTGGTGTAGGCACTGCTAGCTGGCGATCCTTTGATGACCGGAGCGGCCGGGCCGAGACGTAAGCCTTTGCAAGAGGATTCAGGTAGATGGGAACCGCACCATCCAGGACTTTGTATGCTAGTGTTGGTGACTTGAATTTGAAGCGTGCAGCTAGCGGTAGCATATGAAGCTCAGTGAACAGAGATGTGACATGTGCTCTTTTAGGCTGATTGAAGACCAGATGTGCCGCTGCATTCTGGACCATTTGAAGAGGTCTCACAGTACAGGCTGGAAGACCAGTTAGAAGGGCGTTGCAGTAGTCGAGGCAGGAGATGACAGTAGATTGCACCAGGAGCTGGGTGGTGTAACGGGGTGACTCGAGCTGGGCGAGAGTTTGGATGTGGCGTGGCTTTTAACCCAAGCGCGGAGTGACTCACGCCGGGTTGAATGGACACGCTGTTTAATCTGGGAGCCGGGTGCGCAGCTGTATGGTGACACAGCTGAACACGGCGACTCCTGGTCTGAAGCTGATCTGTACGAACAGGCAGGATTCTGAGATCTGGCTGGTCTGATCTGAACAGGCTTCGTGATCTGAGCTGATCTGGTTTGGACTCTAGGTTAGGTTCGGTTAGAACGATGACTGAGTGAGCCGGCGTTGTGCGGCACTTCCTTATATAGATTTGGCGGGTGAGGTGAAACGGAAGCCTGGCGCTAGGGATGTTGGGTAATGGAGTCTGAGCGGCTCTGCGGTAGAGGAGGTTGACGGCTGAGAGGGAGGTTGTGTGACAGGTGGCATATTGTGTTAGGTATGGTCTGATCTTTCGTATGTTATAAGCGCAAAGCGGCATGAACGAGCAACAGAGGCGACATGATCTTTATAGATCAGATGGTCATCAATCACAACACCCAAGTTTCGAACTGCTTTTGAAGGAGCCAGAGATAGGGAATCATTTTGGATTGAGATATTGTGCCGTATGGATGGTTTTGCTGGTATGACAAATAATTCAGTTTTAGAGAGGTTGAGTTGGAGATTGTGGGATTTCATCCATCTTGATACGTCAGAAAGACAGTCTGAGGTTTGTGCAAACCAGGAATGTACTTTCCCTGTGATGCCCATGCTAGAGAGTCTGGACAAAAGGAAACCATGGTTGACAGTGTCAAATGCAGCCGATAAGTTAAGCGTTATAAGTCGCTCTAGCTTCTTTTCAGGATTCTGTCACTAACAGAGCTTTTTCAGTGGCTTGGCTATTTGTCAACCCAGATTGGTGAGGGTCAAGCAGACAGTTTTGTGACAGGTGTTCTGCGATCTGCTTGAAGGCCGCCCTTTCGATGATTTTAGACAGAAACAGGATAGGTCGGTAGTTTTCCACATTATTTGGAGGAAGGGATGGTTTTTTTGGCATCCTGATTTAACCTGAGCATGCTTGAGAGAGGTGGGAAATGGACCAGATGTCAGTGAAGACTTAATCACGTGTGATTGGAGCAGCTTAGTCGGAATGGGGTCGAGTGGGCATGTAGTAGGGCGGCTACACATGAAAGTTTTATTTTGCTACACTTTTACTGTTTTGTAACAATATCCTATATGCTGATTTCACTTTGTGATACTATGGCCAGCGTGTCTGGCACTTTGGTATTATTTACTATTAGGCTATTCCAAATCCAAGTTCAAAAAGGTTTTTGTTTGCTTGTGCTGTAAGTGTACAAAAGTTTCAATGGATACTTAGCAACTTTTCCATATTTTTAAATCATTTTCTTGAGCCAGTATGTGCTAAAATGACCTTTAACAGGGCTAATAAAAGTCCACCCAGCCCCTATCGCCTCCTGTGACCAGAATATTCCACTAACAACTTCAGCCTGGTGGGCTTGCCTGTTGGGACTTATCTGGCATACCTGGTGCTGCAGTCTGCTTCCAGCACATTTCCTGCACGTTTGAATCATGAACACGACTTATTTAATTTAGTGATGATCACCCCTGCAGACCCTAATGAAGGCTGGGAGACATTTCAGCCTTTCATTAAAGTGTTAAAAAGACGAACGCACAGCAAGGAGATTATAAGGTTTTGCTTTCAGTTCTACAAATGGACACTAGGGGGTGGTAGAAGCAAGCTAAAACTGCCTAGTTCCCCTTTCAAAAGGTCTTGTACTGTAAAAAAAACCCATCATTAATACATTCATTATTTTATTCATCCATCCATTTGCTTTTGCTTGAAGGCTAAACCGATGTGCAGCTTTGTGTTCTAAAAAGTCAGCAAATGAGCAGTGCATTAAAAATGACTCTGCCCTTTTCAGTCCTGACTCCTCCCACCCTCGCTTTGTAGACAGTGAATCCATAGGGTTTCATTTCAAATGGAGTTCCAAGCATCAACTGGAAGATTCATTTAGATTAGTTGGTGACTGTGTGTGTTTTTATCTAATGATGCAGAGCTGTTTCTCTGGTTTATAACAGATCTCATGATAGGCATGTGTTGACTCTAATGCAATAGAAGGACTTTTAATCTCATAATTTAGCAAGCTCCAACCACCTGTCCCAAATATATTATGCAGCTGATTAGTGTCATATAAGAAATAATAAAAACAAATGTTCAACAGTCTCTTCATGTCTCTGTTTCAGTGGGTGTGCCAGTTCTGCACCTATTTAAACTACTCTCCTGCTACTATGTGTGAGATGTGTGACCTTGCCCGTCCAGAGCCGGCACCCCTACCTGCAAAGCTCCACCCTCCCTCACCAGTCAGACGAGTCCCTGCTCTTCCAATCAAACCAAAAGAGCTGGTCCATAAGAACCTGGACTCTCAGAGGCAGAGGCTGATGAAAGAGGAAGGGCTGAAGCTGATTCAGCTAATTAGGGCAAGTGTCCGTCATGTTTTCTGTTGAGGTAAACCCAATGTGAGCATGTTTTATTGTTTTGAGCCTTTATGTGTGATTTAGGTTGGTGAGAAGAAAGGAATAAGCCCAGAGGAGGTGTTCACGAGCATGAAAGTAGCAGGAGGGAAGGGTGTGCCGTCCTGCAGCTGGTTAAAGACCGATCTTCCTTTGCTGTTGGACCAAATCAGGATGCTTGTGGCAGCCTCTTTCCTCCAGTGTGTTTCTGACCCAACTCAACCTTCTGTCAGTATTCCAGTCTCAGACCCGATGAGTTCAGTTCACTCCTTACTTCAAAGGCCTCACTTACGTCTTCATTCAAAACAGAGTACGCCCAATGAAGTTCCACCTGCTGACGTGGGGACAAGGCCAGGTTCTGCGGGGATTAAACGTGTGGTTCAGCTGTCCAGAACAGAGGCCAAGCAGGCCTGGCTGTCAGCAGGGGGCGACACTGGGAGGGCGGCCACACAGGCACTGAGGGACAGGCTTACCAAGGTGATGAGAACGTCAGTGGGATCTAAAACAACGTCATTGCTTCAGTTTTGTGAAATTTCCCTGTTTGTCTTTTTTCAGGTGAAGGAGCTTCATGTGCTGGGCTTCTCTGATACAGCTCACTGTCATGAACTTCTGAGGCAGAGTGGGGGGGAGGTCCGGGGGGCCCTGGCCCTGCTGCAGAGACCTCTCCTCGAGCCTTTTCATAAACGAATCTGGAGTGACAAGCCTGAGCCTCCCATCGATATCCACCACCCCGACAAACAAGTGAGTCATCCCTGTTTCGACTTCCCATGATGACATTAAGGGGGGGAGGATGGGCAGGTCGATGGAAGCTGAAGATCTGAGCATGTGGGAGGGTGTAGATGCATGCCAGAGACATGAGGGGGCAAGGCTGGCAAGGGCCTTACATGTGAGGAGTAAAATTTTGTAGTCAACCGTGAGTGTAATCTGAATTTAATCTGAGGCCCTGTCCACACGTAGCCGGGGATCTGCCAAAACGTAGATATTTTTCTACGTTTTAGCCTGTCATCCACACCAAAACGGAGTTTTTTCACGCGAAAACGGATCTTTTTAAAAACTCCGGCCAAAGTGAAGATCTGCGTTTTCTCCGTTTTGGGTGTCTGCGTGTGGACGGACAAAACCGGAGTTTTAAGGTCCGCAACGTCACTTTCCGCGACAAAAAAATGCTGACATCACGTGTGCGACCAGTGTTTACACTAGCCGGCATCATGGATGCCCTCAGAGCTGCGCTCGCTTTATCAGTTGTCCAAGCGCTTTTTGCTTGTTTGTTTTTGCAAGCGGAATTACTGCTCCTTGCGGAAGACCACAGACGAAGGACGAGGTTAAGAACGGGGGAAGTACTGCCACCTACAGGTCTGGCATGTCCTTAACAACGTATTTATCCGGGTACGTGTGGACAGAGTTTCTTTTTAAACGAGGTGGAGTGGATGCAAGTTTTTGGAGGGGCGGATATTCTTTTTTTTTTTTTAAATGGCTACGTGTGGACTAGGCCTGAAGCTGCTGGATAACGGGGTGGAGATAACGGGGGGGGGGGAGTGTTTCTGTCAGAGTTCAACTTCGGGAAGCTGGAAGAGATCCAGGACTTTCTGCAAGGCGAGGTGAGGATGGTGGAAGCATTGTAGATGGAGCAGTTGAAATACATACCTGGGTATCATCAGCACCGTGATGAGATCCTCATCCATGACCATCACCTCATGCTGCAGCCTGATAATGCTTGACTCCATATTGCAAGGATCTGCTATCACTCTAGCATTGTGCACTGACATGAAACAACCGGGACAGCCACTGATGCTCAAGGGGCAAATACCTGGACAGCTTTGAGGACCTTGCAGAATGTGGTATGAGAACATGATACTGACATGGTTTGTGCTCGTCCTTTGCAGCAGATTTGTCGTAGGCTGCTAGCGATGTATGACCTTCCCAGTTGGGGTCGCTGTGAGCTGGCGTTGTCCTTGCTGGTGGAGCACAGTGCACCGTACTCCCTGGAAGACGTGGTGCAGGCCGTAAAAGAGTCCCATGACAGGGAGTTCATCAAGAGAGTGTTGGCTAAAGAATGTCCCATCTGTCTCTGCGTTTTCCCCCACAGCAAGGTACCAACACACAACGATCTGAGAAGACAAGCATCTTCTCTTTCTTTCCCTCACCTTCCATCTTTCACCTCATTTTTTTCTAAATGACCTTAGGTCCACCTTCTTTCATTTAACCTCTGCCCTCTGTCTACCTTCTGTTTTCTCCTGCTTTCTTTGCCTGGTCTTTTTTTCTACCCGTCGTCCCTGATCTCTAAACTCTTTCCCCCAGCTTCTATTTTTGACATTCTTGCCTCCACCTCGTGTCCCATCCAGCAATGCCTGGTCAGGGTCTTTACTTTAGAGTCAGATGTACAATAAATCAACTCAAAATAAAAGGCTATGTTTTAGGGATGGGTACCTTTGACATTTGAATCGATCCGGTACTAATTCCCGGTACCTACGAATCGATTCCGGTACTTAACGGTACCAATTTTCGATACTTTTGAGTGTTTATTCTTTTAATTCTCTTTTATAATTAAATATATATTTTTCTCAATATATAACCATATTTGATAAATATCATGATAAATAACATACAACTGTTTGTATTTTAACATCGTCCTTGTAGTTTTATAAGCTGATAATTAAACTGAAGCAAACATCTTTACTGTGAACAACATTTACTGTGTATCTTCATTCCTTTTACCGTCCTTTTTCAATTGATTTTTCCTACTGGGAAGTTAGAATTTCCGAGGAGAAAGCGAACGCACCATTAGATGAAACAATGGTGGCAATGGAAGCTAACACTGCTGGAGCAGATTAAAACGATGATGCCTCACACTTAGATCATTGTCGCTGGTTTCATCTTCACTCAATCACCCGTCGCATTTAGTAAAGTGAAGCCAAACTTTAGAGCGCGTTCATGTTCTTCTAGTCGGAATTTCGGAGTTCCGAGGAGAAAGCGAACGCACCATTAGTGAAACGGAAGCTAACAAATCAAGCTAACATTATCTTGAACATTTTATTTACCTACTGGAGCAGATTAAGATGAGGATGTCTCACTTAGATCGTTGTCGCTGGTTTCATCATCACCCAGTTACCCATCACATTTAGTGAAGTGGACCCAAGCTTTAGCGTGCGTTCTTTCTACCATGCTGCTCTGTTTACAACTGGCTCGCAGCGACCGACGACGTAACGCTCTTGCGCATGCGCAGCTGTCTTGGCAAGTTCTCGTTGTGAAGGACGGGTACCGAAACGAGGCACTGTTTCAAATGAAGTGAATCGGTGCTCAGTCGGTACTGTGGAATTCGGTCGGTACCTTAAAAAGTACCGAATTCAGTACCCATCCCTACTATGTTTCCATTCTGACCTTGAATTAAATTGTTATATTTTTTAAACAGTGACAGCCGGAGATCACGTTCTGATGAAGTCAACAGGACCACATCATCTACAAAAGCAGAGGCCTGATCCTCAGGCCACCAAAGCAGATCCCCTCAACATCTTGGCTGCGCCTAGAAGCCCTCTCCATAAAAGTTATGAACAGAATCCGTGACAAAGGGCAGCCTTGATGTTGGAGAATCGGCATTACTGAACCACATAATATAACATTCGTAAAACTGTTTATTATATCAAATCAATCAATCAAATCAAAGATACTTTATTAATCCCAGAGGGAAATTAGAGTTTCAGTACACACAATTCAAAGATCAGACATACGTGGGCAAGACACATGACAAGAACTGGTGACTGTGGTCATTCGCAACCCTGAGTCACGCTACCTTAATAGAGATAAGCGGGTAACTTGAGGAATTGATTCGGGAGGAGGGATAAAGACACTTCACAGCTACCCTCCCACCAGGAGGGCAGCTGTGAAGTGTCTTTTTATCACAGAACCAAATCTGAATGTTCTGTACATTACCAACATGATTCCATTATTTTCAGATACTCCGTACATCACTGTGCACCAAAACTTTGAAGCAGTTTGCCTCAATTACCCTGTTCTTGGGGTAGCTTTTGTAAGCCTCCATGACCGGGTTAGTGCAGGGCTTCCAAATAGGGACCAGGTGAAGTCAAAGACAGTAGCTCCATTATAAAAATCACAAGTTCAGTGGACCGTGTATCTCTTCACCTTACTGTGATACTGAACATAAATATATATAAAGTACTGCATTTAAAAGTTTTTAGGTCTTACAGGTATGCATCGTATCAGCAGTTTACCTGGTGGCTGGCTAGGGAGAAGAATACGCAGAGTCCTCCCATCGACGCAGCAGATTCATGTAGACGTAGATGAGGCATGGACTCATTTTAATGACATCTAGTTCACAGTTTAGTGTTTTGTTCTACCACATTATTATTGGCTCGACAAGTCAGAACTTCAGACTAATCTCTATATTAGAAGTGGGCCATACAACAAATCAACAGTTCAAGGTTTTTTCCTTTTGCACAGAAAACTGCAGACATACAGTGTGTCCTCAAAATACTAGTAATTCATACATCCAGCTAATGTCCATAATAATACTTAACGAGACTCCCTTTTTTAAATGAATATGAACACTTGCATGGTTACAACAATAAAGTGAATAGCAAAGCAAAAGTATGGTACCATCATTTAGCATGGTTCCCAGATGTCGTATTTCATCTTTGCAGGCCTGTTGACCTCCCGTTTGTTGGTTTCTTTTCAACGTTTTGCACAACGATCTTCTCGTGAGGAAAGCTGTGGACGCTTATATCGGTTCCTTTGTTGTCTTCAACTGGAAATCACAACCAAAAGCCTTCTCTGTAACAACAGCTAAGCTAAATGCGAACCCCAAAGCTAAAGTCTACAACCTATTATTGTCATCATCCCACAATGCCTTGCATGCCTGAAAACATGGCTGCCCCTGAACCTGAAAAATAGCACAAAAGATTGTGTGAGTCAAAAGACTTTTTTTTTAGTTTTTAACTGTATTTTCATGTTGCGGAGATCAGAGCCGTGTCCAGGACTTTTAAAATGGGGTGGCCCATGTGGGGCACTTGTTTATGCATGGGTGGCACCAATGGTTATGCTTTTTTATTTATTTACACATATTTATTTATTTATTTACTTACTTTCTAGTGAATTTTGGAGTTTCACATTGAACAATCACCATGTTTTTCTATTCATCTTCTAGTTTTGTGGTGGTTAGCAAGTCAATTCTTGTTGCATTACTGCCACCAACTGGAGTTGAGTGGGACTCTAAATACTATTTATTTGAATAGGAAAAAATATTAAATAATATGAATACTACAGAAATGTTCTGTAGGCCTGGGCTAGAAGACAATGTTAAAGGTGCATGCTACCACACACTATTTTTGGAGTTTACAACTCAAGCTTTTGTCGACAGTGCAAAGTCAATTTAAACTGGAAATGGAACAGGTGGCACCTGGGGTGGCCAATCAGATTCTAAGGGTGGCATGTGCTACCCCAGGCCACTCCCTGGACACGCCCCTGGCAGAGATACTTTGTAACATCTTTAGAGCAACAAGTCTGTAATTCAGGGTTCATTTTAAAGGAGACATATTATTCAAAACTCCCCTTTTTGCTTCCTTTTGTGCAGCCATGCAGATTTCTGCGTCCTCTATAAACACCCCAAACATAAAAACCAGTCCATCCATTTACTGTCAGTGTTTGCTTTTAGGAACTATGTGGTAAAACAAGCTGTCAATTAGCACCCACCCTTCTCCTGTTAAGAGTAGAGCTGCTCCATCAGCAGCAGCTCTACTTTGAGCCCCTTACAGATTTTGGAGCTTCTCGTCCTATAGCAGCCAATCAGGGGGCGGGTGGGCGTGGACAATTCCAGCTTGTTTTCTTTAGAGTGCCAGATCCCTAACAGGTCATGAAAATGTCAAGAATCAAGCTGCTGACATGTGAGAGGGATTTAGTGCAAAGAAACCAGCCATACAAATATTATAACTTAAACAAGTTGTGCCTCTAACATCACTTTCTGTCCCTATTTCCACACTCAGATGCAGTCTTTGACATCGTGCCAGTGTTCTGTTTGCTGTGGCTGTTTCCAGCAGCACTTCACTATCGCTGTAAGAGACAAACACATCAGAGACATGGTGTGTCCCGTCTGCTGGGAGCCTGACATCAATGACCCGGAACATCTGAACAGCTACTTCTCCACCCTGGACATCCAGGTAGGAGGCTGTTGGGTTAGAATGTCAGGGTGTGTGTATGTCTTCACCAGATCTTCAAAACCAGTGTGTTTATTGTTGGTGACTGTAGCAGTCTCAGCTACTGGACACATCACACACACTTCACACACACTTCACACACACTTCACACCAAGAGGTTCATTAAAAAGACAGAAACCCATCTGTCGAGTCCAAGTCCATGGGCCTCTCTCACGCGCCCCACTGGCTATGTGAGGCGAGTGAGCGCTGACCTGCTGCCAATGAAGTGGGCACAACGGTTCTCCCCTGACCTGCACAGCTCCACAGTGACCCTCTACTTGTAATTTAAAGTGATGAACGGCTGTATCAGAGAATTACATCTGTATAAGTTTGCACGTTCAGTGTCAACGGTTTAATTATTATTTTATTTTTCCAATTAATATAGATCAAAGTCAGGTTGTATGCTAGCCTAGAAATGTAGACCCCCAGTTGCAGAAGCAAAATGATTTTGTTCTCATGTCAGTCTAGCCACGCTCCATCAGAAGCTCAGCAGGCCTGCCACTGGCCTGAGCAGGACGGTGCTCCGCCTTTCGGTGTGGGCGGGATGATGCGACGGAGTGGAACACCTAAGATGGTGGAAGATTTGTTGAAACAGTTTTGGAGCCAACTTTGGACTATTTAGACATTTGCCTCTATATACACATATATTCAGGGGTGGACTGGGACCAAAATTTGGCCCTGGCATTTTTACGAACCGTCGGCCCTCCCCATTGGGAGTGTGGTGGGGGTGGGGGGTGTTGCCGCCCACGGACTCGTCTCTAGGCCGAATGTGAGATCTAATATGGACTGGGACTGTTAAATTACAAGCAGGGCCAGACCACTGCGACCGGGAGCCCTGGCCTTCCAGATCAGCTCATTCTCCACGGGCAGAGATAAGCAGGACATTAGCTACATGCTAACGCGGTAAGACAACTCCTACGATATCGCTCTACCGCATTTTTCTTGCTAAAAACGCCTGGAAAAACACTGTTAGCTTGTGGTTACCATGTAGCTAATGCTCTGCAGATCATCAACTGTGGAGTACTGTCGGCCCAAGCTGGGCAAGCAGCCCGCTTGGCTAAGCGACCCACCGGGACATTGCCAGAATGCCAGATAGGCCAGTCCGCCCCTGCATATGTTGTTGTTCCTCATGTCATGCCAGTGACACCACAGCTACCTACCTTCATATCTGTCCAACAGCCTACACACTCTACTGACTACCTACCTGTCTGTCTGTGTCTGTCAGCTGAGAGAATGTCTGGATCCAGAAGTCTATGAGCTGTTCCACAAGAAGCTGACTGAGCAGGCTCTGATCAAGGACCCAAAGTTCCTCTGGTGCTGCCACGTGAGTCTGTCAGCAAACAGGCTGTCAACTGCAGCCCGGCACTAAGACCATAATCGTTAAATAAAAAGATTGGACCTGAGAAAAACAATAACATGGAAAGGAAATGAAAAGATAATGAAATTGCAAGAGGTTATTAAAGGATTCCCAGCCCAACACAGCAAGTCCTGCCCTGACAACCCCCCACCCCCACCCCCACCCCCCCCACACACACCTCTAGGTCTCTGCAGCAAAGATCAAACACCCTGATGACCTAGTCAGGACCTACTCTCAAATAACACAAAAAGCATCGCCTTGTGAAACTCCTGTCTACATTGAGTGAGTGAGTGAGTGAGTGAGTGAGTGAGTGAGTGAGTGAGTGAGTGAGTGAGTGAGTGAGTGAGTGAGTGAGTGAACAGGTGAGTGAGTGAGCGGCTGAGTGGACAAGCGAATGAGTGAGTGAGTGAGTGAGTGAGTGAATGAGTGGCTGAGTGAACAGGTGAGTGAGTGAGTGGCTGAGTGGACAAGCGAATGAGTGAGTGAGTGAGTGAGTGGCTGAGTGAACAGGTGAGTGAGTGAGTGGCTGAGTGAACAAGCGAATGAGTGAGTGAGTGAACAAGCGAATGAGAGAGTTGAGTGAATGAGCAGCTGAGTGAACAGGTGAGTGAGTGAGCGGCTGAGTGAACAAGCGAATGAGTGAGTGAGTGAGTGAGTGAACAATCAAATGAGTGAGTGAGTGAACAAGCAAATGAGTGAGTGAGTGAGTGAACAAGTGAATGAGTGAGTGAGTGAACAAGTGAATGAGAGAGGTGAGTGAGTGGCTGAGAGAACAAGCGAATGAGAGTTGAGTGTGAGTGAGTGAGTGAGTGAGTGAGTGAGTGGCTGAGTGAACAGGTGAGTGAGTGAGTGGCTGAGAGAACAATCAAATGAGAGTTGAGTGTGAGTGAGTGAGTGAGTGGCTGAGTGAACAGGTGAGTGAGTGGCTGAGAGAACAAGCGAATGAGAGTTGAGTGTGAGTGAGTGAGTGAGTGAGTGAGTGGCTGACTGAACAGGTGAGTGAGTGAGAGGCTGAGTGAACAAGAGAATGAGAGTTGAGTGTGAGTGAGTGAGTGAGTAAGCAGGTGAGTGAGTGAGTGAGCAGGTGAGTGAGTGGCTGAGAGAGCAAGCGAATGAGAGTTGAGTGTGAGTGAGTGAGTGAGTGAGTGAGTGAGTGAGTGAGTGAGTGAGTGGCTGAGAGAACAAACGAATGAGTTGAGTGTGAGTGAGTGAGTGAGTGGCTGAGTGAACAGGTGAGTGAGTGAGTGGCTGAGAGAACAAGCGAATGAGAGTTGAGTGAGTGAGTGAGTGAGTGAGTGAGTGAGTGAACAAGCAAATGAGTGAGTGAGTGAACAAGCAAATGAGTGAGTGAGTGAACAAGTGAATGAGTGAGTGAGTGAACAAGTGAATGAGAGAGGTGAGTGAGTGAGTGAGTGGCTGAGAGAACAAGCGAATGAGAATTGAGTGAGTGAGTGAGTGAGTGAGTGAGTGAGTGAGTGGCTGAGTGAACAGGTGAGTGAGTGAGTGAGTGGCTGAGTGGCTGAGAGAACAATCGAATGAGAGTTGAGTGTGAGTGAGTGAGTGAGTGGCTGAGTGAACAGGTGAGTGAGTGAGTGGCTGAGAGAACAAGCGAATGAGAGTTGAGTGTGAGTGAGTGAGTGAGTGAGTGAGCAGTTGAGTGAGTGGCTGAGAGAGCAAGCGAATGAGAGTTGAGTGTGAGTGAGTGAGTGAGTGGCTGAGTGAACAGGTGAGTGAGTGAGTGAGTGAGTGGCTGAGAGAACAAGCGAATGAGAGTTGAGTGTGAGTGAGTGAGTGAGTGAGTGAGTGAGTGAGTGAGTGGCTGACTGAACAGGTGAGTGAGTGAGCGGCTGAGTGAACAAGAGAATGAGAGTTGAGTGTGAGTGAGTGAGTGAGTGAGTAAGCAGTTGAGTGAGTGAGTGAGTGAGTGAGTGAGTGAGCAGGTGAGTGAGTGGCTGAGAGAGCAAGCGAATGAGAGTTGAGTGTGAGTGAGTGAGTGAGTGAGTGGCTGAGTGGCTGAGAGAACAAACGAATGAGAGTTGAGTGTGAGTGAGTGAGTGAGTGAGTGAGTGAGTGAGTGAGTGAGTGAGTGGCTGACTGAACAGGTGAGTGAGTGAGCGGCTGAGTGAACAAGAGAATGAGAGTTGAGTGTGAGTGAGTGAGTGAGTGAGTGAGTGAGTAAGCAGGTGAGTGAGTGAGTGAGCAGGTGAGTGAGTGGCTGAGAGAGCAAGCGAATGAGAGTTGAGTGTGAGTGAGTGAGTGAGTGGCTGAGTGAGTGAGTGAGTGGCTGAGTGAACAGGTGAGTGAGTGAGCGGCTGAGTGAACAAGCGAATGAGAGTTGAGTGTGAGTGAGTGAGCAAGTGAGTGAATGAGTGAGCAGGTGAGTGAGTGGCTGAGAGAACAAGCGAATGAGAGTTGAGTGTGAGAGTGAGTGAGTGGCTGAGTAAACAGGTGAGTGAGTGAGTGGCTGAGAGAACAAGCGAATTAGAGTTGAGTGTTTGTGAGTGAGTGAGTGAGTGAGTGAGTGAGTGAGTGGCTGAGTGAACAGGTGAGTGAGTGAGTGGCTGAGAGAACAAGCAAATGAGAGTTGAGTGTGAGTGAGTGAGTGAGTGAGTGGCTGAGTGAACAGGTGAGTGAGTGAGTGGCTGAGAGAACAAGCGAATGAGAGTTGAGTGTGAAGTGAGTGAGTGAGTGAGTGAGTGAGTGAGTGAGTGGCTGACTGAACAGGTGAGTGAGTGAGCGGCTGAGTGAACAAGCGAATGAGAGTTCAGTGTGAGTGAGTGGCTGAGTGAGCAGGTGAGTGAGTGAGTGAGCAGGTGAGTGAGTGGCTGAGAGAGCAAGCGAATGAGAGTTGAGTGTGAGTGACTGAGTGAGTGAGTGGCTGAGTGAACAGGTGAGTGAGTGAGTGAGTGGCTGAGTGAGTGAGTGGCTGAGTGAACAGGTGAGTGAGTGAGTGAGTGGCTGAGAGAACAAGCAAATGAGAGTTGATTGTGAGTGAGTGAGTGAGTGAGTGAACAGGTGAGTGAGTGAGTGGTTGAGTGGCTGGGAGAACAAGCGAATGAGAGGTGAGTGAGTGAGTGAGTGAGTGAGTGAGTGAGTGAGTGAGCGGCTGTGTGAACAAGCAAATGAGAGTTGAGTGTGAGTGAGTGAGTGAGCAGGTGAGTGAGTGAGTGAGCAGGTGAGTGAGTGGCTGAGAGAACAAACGAATGAGAGTTGAGTGTGAGTGAGTGAGTGGCTTAGTGAACAGGTGAGTGAGTGAGTGGCTGAGAGAACAACCGAATGACAGTTGAGTGAGTGAGTGAGTGAACAGGTGAGTGAGTGAGCGGCTGAGTGAACAAGCGAATGAGAGTTTAGTGTGAGTGAGTGAGTGAGCAGGTGAGTGAGTGAGTGAATGAGAGAGCAGGTGAGTGAGTGAGTGAGTGAGTGAGTGAGTGAGTGAGTGAGTGAGTGAATTAGAGAGCAGGTGAGTGAGTGAATGAGTGAGCAGGTGAGTGAATGAGCGAATGAGAGAACAGGTGAGTGAGTGATTTATTGATCTATTGATTGAGTGAATGAGTGAGTGAGTGAGCTGGTGAGTGAGTGAATGAGAGAGCAGGTGAGTGAGTGAATGAGAGAGCAGGTGAGCGAGTGAGCGGTTGAGTGAACAAGCGAATGAGAGAGTTGAGTGTGAGTGAGTGAATCAAGGAGTGAGCGACTGAGAGAACAGGTGAGTGAGTGAGTGAGTGAGTGAGTGAGTGAGTGAGTGAGTGAGTGAATGAGAGAGCAGGTGAGTGAGTGAATGAGAGAGCAGGTGAGCGAGTGAGCGGTTGAGTGAACAAGCGAATGAGAGAGTTGAGTGTGAGTGAGTGAATCAAGGAGTTAGCGACTGAGAGAACAGGTGAGTGAGTGAGTGAGTGAGTGAGTGAGTGCTCATCCTGGATGGACCATGGGTTCGGGTCCTTCTGAAGCATTTATCTCATCCATGGTGTTTAGAGGAATATTCCTGCTACAACCACTTTTTGAGTGTTAAGCCCTTTCACACGTTCATAAAGGCTCATAAAACACTTTCCATGATTATAAATATATTTATGATCATTTGGGTCTCCCTGGTCTGAGTGCTCACGGGAACTTAGCATAATAAGCACTTCCTATAAGCTGCTTCTCACTTCTCAGCAGCATTTTAGTTCATATCTGAATCACTTTGGATGATCAGCTCTTCCTCTTTTCCTCAGTGTTCCTATGGGTTCATCTATGACGGGGACCAGCTGAAGGTCACGTGTTTTCAGTGCCAGAACAGTTTCTGTGCTCAGTGCAAAAAGCCTGTAAGTGTTTCACTTTTGTCTAACTCCTTATGCTTAGAGCTGTTAGATCACAAACTCCCTCAGTAACCTCCTAAACTCATCTTTTAATGTTGATGAAAGGGAAAACAGACCTAGCAGTCAATATTAGTGGGTGGTTGTTTGTTTTATTTGTGGTTAATTTGTGTTTTTTTTTCCCCAAGAAGAGTTTATGAAACTAAAAAGGCTTCTACTCGAGGTTCACACTTTCTTATTGGTTCAGATCAAAGTCAAAGGAAACCTTATCATCATGTCTGATATCAACCACACAGAGAGAGGAGATGTGTAGGGCAGTGGCAGGATGGGTAGGATGTGCAAAAGTCTAATGGGCTGTGGGAAAAAGCTATTGCACAGTTTGGTGGATCAAGCCTGGATGTGTGAGTCTTGTAGATGGCAAGGGTGTAAATAGTCCCTGTGGGGAGGTGCGGGGTCAAGCATGATGCAGGATGTTCTCCAGGTGAGGTGGTCTGAGAGGTGAAGTCCCAGGAAGCTGGTGTTCTTTACAGACTACACGTGAAGCCGTGGATTCTGGCTGGTGTGGTCGGGGTGGAATTTCCTGAAGTCGACAAACATTTTGTCCACGTTCAGCAACAAATTGTTTGCATCACACAGGACAGCCCGCTGCTGAACCTTGTCTCTGTACGCTGATTCGTTATTGTGACTGATGAGTCTCACCACAGTTGCGTCCTCTGTAGGGCAGCAACAAACGATTATTTGGATGATTGGCGAATCGGACGGGGTCTCGACTCGATTAATCGGATTAAACTGGAACGCTTAAAAACTGCCAAGGAAACATTTTTTTCCTTCCTTTACTTTAACAACAGAACATGATTAGAAAACAGTTCAGTAGCGTGCTAAACAACATGCTATCACCTAAATATATCCATAATTAATCCATGATCAGTACAATTTTATGTATTTCATTAACAAGTTCAGTAGTAAGCTACTGGAAATGCTAATAACATTTAATTTCTACTGTAAAAAATGGTGACATATCTATTTTGTACAGGTTAGCAATAATCCAGTTTAAATGATGTTCACAGATAGACATGTTTGTAAATTACATGCTACAGCGGCATGCCATAATCCTGCAGATGAGCTGCACACATTGACTGGTACATAAAGCAGGGTTGCCCCCAGACAATGACTTAAAGCCTGGCAAATTTGGCCGCCCGGGGGGGGGTGTCGCGCGTTGCACGCTCCGTCCCTCAGCGCTCCTCCGTGAGAGCGGGGTGGGGTGGTTGCACATGTTCCGCTGCTGCTTCTCACCAGCATCAGCTGATGGAGGGTTCTAGTTTCGTTGCGCCGCTCGTGTCAGCGGACACGGTGGGGTTGGGGAGGGGGGCGGGGCATGACGCTTAGCCTGGCGGGCCGCCAGGCTTATAAAGCGCTGGGGGAGCCCTGTAAAGTTTGCACAGCACAAAAATAAGTTACAAGACGCAACAAATCAATGAAGAAATGTGTTGCCAATGCATTTTGGTTTTTATCGATTTTTATCGAGTGGTTGCAGCCCTAGTCCTCTGTGAACTTGATGATGTGGTTTGAGTTGTGTGTGATGGTGCAATAATGGGTCAGCATAGGGAACAGCAAGTGACTGAGATCATGGCCCTGGGTGCCCCCTGCGCTTTCGTGGATGGGGCTGGTGATGTTATACTGACAGACTGTGGCCTCTGACAGGAAATCCAGTACTTAGTTGCAGAGGGAGGTGCTCAGTCAGATTTACCTAGAAGCCTTCGTGCGATGATGGTGTTGAAAGCTGAGCTAAAGCATTCTAACACAGGTGTCCTTCTTATCCAAGTGAGACAGCGAGACGTGGATATAGCTTCCTCTATTGACCTGTTAGGTCGATATTAAAATTACAGAAGGTCCTAGGACCTAGGAAGGCTGCTCTTTACCTGGGCCATAACAAGACTCACAAAGTATTTCATTACTGGGCATTGAGAAAGTAGTCAATCAGGCAGGATACAGATGATTTATTTTGGCACTCTGATGATGGTGGTGGATTTGAAAAATCCTGAAATGATCATTTAGCTCAGTGATGTGTTCATGAAGACAGCTTTAGTGGGTCCACTTTGATGCAGAGGGAGGATCTGGTCTGTGGAGGGGTGTGTGGTTTTTATCACCATCAGTTGAGTTACGAGCCCTAAATGAATGTTTCATACGTTCATTTGAATTGACAAACAAATAGTTCCAATCAAATAAACTTCAATTTTAGTGTGTGTGCTGTGCGTGCGTGCGTGCGTGCGTGCGTGTGTGTGTGTGTGTGTGTGTGTGTGTGTGTGTGTGTGTGTGTGTGCGCGCGCGCAGTGGGAGCCACAGCATGCAGGTCTGTCCTGTGAGCAGTACCAGTCCTGGAAGAGAGAGAATGATCCAGAATACCAAAAACAGGGCCTAGCTGGATACCTCAGAGACAATGGCATAAGTGAGTGGACACACACACGCACGCACGCGCACACACACACACTTTAAATCTGAAACCCGTCCATACTCCTCGTGGATGTTCATGTGCATTGATCCTGCTACTTGACTCACCTGTCCAATTCTAACACCTGAATATAATGAGCTAGACTGCTTCAGGAGCATGTTTGCATGCTCTGCATCTTGGGTTGTGGAGACGGTTCCATTGCTGTGGAAGACATGTTCTAGTACCAAAAAGTCTCCCACATCTGTCTTAAATGACTACGGACATGTCCTGAAAAAACATTATGAATTCCTCCAAAAACTGCTATAACTTCTCTAGAGAGAAAAATAGTGAGAAAAAATGTAAAGTTAACATTTGAAATAACCGGGAATAATGCACTTGGAGAGTAGTAGCAAAAGGAAGTTGCAGAGTGTGAGAGTGGTCAGTATGTCCTCCAGCAGATAAAATCCTGATTAATACTTCTCCGTGAGCTCCACAACGGAGAGACGCACACGGAGTGTCAGAATGGTTTTCACATTCAAACTTCTGTTCAGGCAGCGGAGTGCTGCAAAGCAATTCCTCGCCAGGACAACGGAGGGCGTAGCGCTTTTCTGTGATATCTTGCCACCATAACACTCATGTATCCGGTCCACGATAGTGTATTTACTAATGCGTTTATGTATGTCAGAGACTTTTTAACACAGACAAATTTGTCCTTCATTCTCCTCCACCTCCTCATGTGGTCGCCACCTCTAAACCTACATTTCCCGTCTTTTCCATCCATGTTTGTACTCCTTCACTCACGGATGAATACATTTTCATATTTTTGGACTTTTTCCGCGATGCATTCTTCAATCTGTTTTGGATCTGCTGCTAAATATCTGTTTACCTTTTAACGGAGCAACAGCGGTGCTGGTGACGAATATACAGGAAGCGGCGTCCCGACCAATCACAAGCTTGCGGTCTCTGTTACTTTCGACAGATGTTTAAAATTTAGTGCATGTCTCCGTCACCCTCTGTGAGCCTGTCGGAGAGCCCTTGCGCCGACGCATAATGGCGTTGCGTGTCTCCGCACCAACGCAGACGGAGAAGTATAAATCAGGGTTAAGCCTATAGCAGCATAACTACAGAGATAACTCCCCCAGTCGTCCAACTGGGCTAACATCACTCAGATTTTACCTATAGGCTTAAGCAAATAAGAGTTCTTTTTCTAACTTCGTTCTGTTTCACTATGGGAATCGCCCTGGCGTGACCAACTACGGAAGCTCTAATGACATCACGTCTGTCCCTGACAGACTGGTTGCGCCGTGCCCAGTCTCCGCCCACCCAGTATATACAAGGCCAACCAACCCCTCCTACTCATTCTCGCTTTCTTCCCGTGAGAAACTACACTTTGCTCCCTCAGCGATTTTCAGGCTATCTTTGGTTAGATGCTTAACTGTTCCCAGGCATATCGTGAGGATACGTCGCCGAACGCAGTCCCAACGCGGTCTGGATTTGAGCTGAGTAAGTGCTTCTAAGTCACTTGGCACACTTCGCTAGGAACAGTCACCGCGTCACGGCGAACTGCTCCCACGACTACTCTGTTGTCATTGACGGAGTAGTATTAGCGAGTGTAGCTCAAGCTAACGCGTTGAGGCGAGCCTGTCCTTTGCTTATTGAGTATTTACTTGCTAATGAGCTACTTTGGTGCAGCTAACGTGTCACGACGAGTTGCCCTACATATAAAATATAGCTTTAGTTGTAGACTTACACCTGCTATCTAGCTTGCTAACGCTTTTTCAGGCTAACGTGTCACGACGAGTCGAATTTTCAGCTGTGGCTTCCACACCTACCCCGACCGACGGGTCGGAACCGAAGGCTAAAGAGGTTGCATCCCTCCTGTGCCCAGCGTCTTGTGGGACTTCTATTTCAGGCAGGGACCCTCATCCTCTGTGCATAGCTTGCATGGGTGCTGCTCACGCCCAGGCATCGCTGGCTAACCCGCAGACATGCCCTCACTGCTCCTCCATGCCTGAGAAGATGAGGGAAAGGAGGTATAGAGTGGCAGTGGCTAACGGCCAGGACCCAAGCCTTGGCTCGGCCACGCCTGTAGATACAGGTGACAACCATCAGCCACGAGCCTCCACTAGCTGGGCGGATATGATGGAAGAGGAGCCCCCGCTACCTCCTCTGTTCGAGGGGCTGGTTGACAGCAGGCTACTCGATGTGGGTGATGACGAGGCTGGAGGTGATACGAACGGATCTCCTCGACTTGGACATGGAAGAGGAGGAAGAGGATTCCACCTTCCCAGCTCAACACTCTAGGCCGTCTAGTGGCACTGGGGTGGCATCACAGGGGGACACCGACATGTAAGAGGTTTGCAGACGAGCAGCGGCAATGCTCAGCATTCAGTGGCCAGCAGCCCAAGGGGGCAGAAGGGATGGAACGAGACCTGTATGATGGTAAGAGGCTCCCACTATCCTCCGCTCCACCCAAGCAGCTCTTGCCGGCTGTCCCAGCCTGCATGAGAGAAATGAGCCATTACTGGTCCAGCCCATTTAAGAGTAAACCCCCCACCAAGGGATGCTCTAAACTGGAGGTGCATGGAATGGGGGACTTGGGGCTGGCTCTAACCCCTAACGGTGGAGCCTTCAGTGGCATACCACCTTCACCCCAACCGCAGATCCGTGTCAGCATCATCCAGCATCTCTCTCCCATCTAAAACAGATCGTCTCACGGCATCCGTTTTTCAGAGGATGTACATATATGCTGGCCAATCTGTGTGTTCCCTCAATGCGGTTACTCTCTTGTCAGCTTATCAAGGAGAGCTGGACTCTGGGGTGCCTAACCCGGCTTTATGGGATGAAATTTGAGTGGTGAATGATCTCATCCTGCGCTCTTCTAGGAGCAGTCCAGTGCTGTGGATGTGTGATGGGTTTGGCGGTTTCGGGTGGAGAGAGCCTTGTGGCTAAACCTGTCAGGCCTAGGTGACATCCAGAAAGCTGAAGTCATGGATGCAGCATATGACCCTACCAAAGGTCTCTTTCGACCTGCCTTGGAGAAGATGACTGAGACAAGTACCCGCAGAAAGCAGGAAGGTGAGGCCTTCAATCTCTGCTTGCCTCATAAACAGCCCTCAGCCACCTCAGGTGCCCAAGCCTGGGTTTGCAGCAGCTGCCTCAGTGGCAAAGGGTCGACAGGGTAGGGCTAGACCACAGCGATCAGCAGGTGGTCAGCCAAACAAGGCGGAGAACCCTCGCCTGTGGGGGAAGCACGCTTTTGCAGCAGCAGCCGCCAGGAACCGCTCATCTCACCCCAGCGAGGGCAAGAGGAAGAAGACATCCTAGCTGCTCTTGCTTCTCTCCAAAAGAAGAGGTTTTCAGAGGAAAAAACAGACCTCTGCGTTCAGGGTTCAGACACTCCTGTGGTTCCCAGTCCACTTGTTTTGTTGGCTCCTCCCTCTTTAGTTCAGAGAGACGAGTGTGTGGTGCAGAAAACCCAGTGTCGCCAAACACTTTTCAGTTTTCAAATGAGCACACAGTCAGTGTCACCAAGCACTTTGTTCCCAAATGTGTGCAAACATGTTCAGGGGGATCATTTAAAAATAAAGACAGCTTTTCTGCAGCCAGGCATTCAGCCAAGGGCAGACAGCTCCCCACAAAAATTAATAAACAAACCCCATCAGGTCCCTCTGTGCCCAGCAGAGGGCCCTCTTGCTCTTCCCACGGGACGAGTTGAGGCTCGGGTGACGGAGATGACGTCACCCAACAGCAGCTCGCTTTCGGCTTGGGCCGAGAGGTGGCGCGCATGTGCAGCCCCCTCTTTGGTTCTGATGACCATTTGTCGGGGTTTCAGGCTTCAGTTTGCCTCAAAACCACCACGTTTCAACGGGATGATAACGTCAGTGGCAAGAGAGGATTCAGCGCATATCCTGGAAGACAAAATCGCTTCACTGTTGAACAAAAAAGCGATCAGGATGGTGCCGAGCAATGAGGCCCACCAGGGTTTTGCAGATGCCTATTTTCACATCTCTATTTATCCTCCACACAGGAAATTTCTCAGGTTTGCCTACACATCCTACGAGTTTCAAACCATCCCGTTCCGGCTGCTATTAGCACCGAGGGTGTTCACCAAGTGTGTGGAGGCGGCGTTGTCCTCACTGAGGACTCGCAGGATCAAAATTTTCTCTTACGTAGACGATTATCTGATTTGCGCTCCCTCCTGGGAGCAAGTAGTGACGCGCTGGTGGTGTTGAACCATTTGACTGACCTCGGGTTCAAAATAAACTGGACAAAGAGCAGTTTATTCCCCAGACAGTGCACAGAATATCTGGGTCTTCAGATAAACTCTCTCACTTATCGCGTCTCACTGTCAGAAGAGAGGATCGCGTCCTTCACACAGTGTGTCGCACGTTTTCAGTTAGGAAAGCGTGCGTCGTACAGACTTTGCCTGCGCCTTCTCGGCCTCATGGCGTCAGTGATTTCTGTGGTGCGACTGGGGCTTCTTATGATGAGAGATGTTCAGCGGTGGGTGAGGTCGTTAAAACTGTGCTCCTGCCATCATCTCCACCGCAGAGTGAAAATAACTCCGGCGTGCATGTCGGCTCTCCAGCCTTGGAGAGACCGAATAGTTCTCACAACCGGGGTTCTGCCAGGGGTGGTGGTGTCCTGAGTTACAGGTTGGGGGGCCACCTTGATGGAGAGAGCAGTGAACGGCGTTTGGTCACACAGTTTGAAACAGGTTCACATAAATGTGCTGGAACTCCTAGCAGTGTTTTTAGCTTTAAAGCACTTCCTGCCCCACTTAAGGGACCGTCATGTCTTAGTGAAGACGGACAACACCACAGTGGTAGCTTATATCAACCATCGGGGCGAGACATGCTCCCTACAGCTGCAATCACTAGCCAAGGAAATAATTTTGTGGTGCAGCTCCAGACTCCTCTCAGTCCGCGCAACACATGTGGCGGGCAGCTTGAACAGAGGGGCAGACCTTCTGTCCACAGGAAATCTTCTGTACGGAGAATGGAAACTCCAACCCCAGTTGGTGCACCAAAAATGGCAGAGATTCGGTCAGGCTACCATAGATCTCTTTGCCTCATGGGAAAGCGCCCACTGCCCACTCTTCTTCTCCCTGACGGACGCGCCTCTGGGAGTCGACGCGTTGGCTCACCAGTGGCCGAGAGTGCTGCTGTATGCGTTTCCTCTTCTCAGTCTGATTTCCTCCATTCTAATAAGAGTAAGGGAACAGGGCCTGTCTTTGATCTTGGTGGCTCCGTTGTGGCCATCCAAGCCGTGGGTGGCAGAAATAATCCAGATGCTTTGAGACAAACCGTGGCCCCTGCCTGTCCGTAGGGATCTCCTGTCCCAAGCCAGGGGAGAGATTTGTCACCCTCAGCCAGACCGCTTGTCTCTGTGGGCATGGCCTGTGAGAGGTGGAATCTGAGCATGGCAGGCCTGCCCCCAAGTGTCATTGTCACCATTCAAAACGCTAGGACCCCCTCAACTCGCCCTCCTTACAGCTGTCAATGGAGAGTTTTTGAGTTGTGGTGTGAAGAAAAACATGTTATCCTGTTTCAGTGTCCGGTGGGGGATGTACTCTGTTTTATGCAGAGTCTGATGGACAAGGGTAAAGCTTTCTCCACTATTAAGGGTTATCTGGCTGCAATTTCTGCATGCCATGTGGAGTTTGGTGACAAACCAGTGGGGCAACACCCATTAGTGAGTCGCGTCATGAAGGGTGCTTTCCGTAAGCTACCAGTCTTTAGGCCACTGGTACCACTGTGGGACCTCTCTCTTGTTCTGGAGGCCCTCTGTCATCATCCTTTTGAACCTGTAGATGGGGCTGGATTGAAATTTCTCTCTTTAAAAACTGCACTGCTCTTAACTTTAACTACAACAAAGACAGTGAGTGACCTTCAGGCATGGTCAGTCAGTCCCTCTTGTTTACGGTGGGCCCCTGGTTACACTAAGGTGTGTCTGTGGCCCAATCCAGCTTTTGTGCCAAAAGTAATGGAGTCATCTTATAGCTGCTCCCCTGTGGAGCTGCTGGCTTTTCACCCACCTCATTTTTCCTCAGCAGAAGAGCAGAAGCTTAATTGTCTCTGCCCTGTTCGAGCTTTAAGGGCTTATATGGACAGGACTGCTGGTTTCAGAAAATCAGACCAGTTGTTTGTTTCTTGGGCCACGGCCCATAAAGGCAAACCTGTGTCTCGCCAGAGACTGGCACACTGGATTGTAGAAGCAATAAACCTTTCATATAGGTGTAAGGGTAATGAATCCCCTGTGGGGGTGAGGGCTCATTCTACAGGGAGCATGGCCACATCTTGGGCCCTGTTTCGTGGTGTGTCAGTCCAGGATATCTGTGCAGCAGCTAGCTGGGCCACGCTGCTAACTTTTGTGCAGTTTTACAGGCTGGATGTGTCTCAACCTTTGCTGGCGCATTCAGTGCCAGAGGCAGGATGCACATCATCTACTTAGTGGTTAAGCAGAATTTTGCTGCAGCTCGCTTCGGGAGGGACATGCAATCCGGGAGTGGGCCATATCTCCCGTAGTGAAACACCGAACGAAGTTAAAAAAGAACATATGGTTACGTTACAAAACCCCGGTACTTTGATAACAGAGTGAGATGTTTCACCAACAATTCCCTTCTTGCATTAACGGTAAGAAATCGTCTGAATGAGTAGGAGGGGTTGGTTGGCTGTGTATATACTAGGTGGGTGGAGCCTGGGCACGGCACAACCGCTCTGTCAGGGACAGACGTGATGTCATTGGAGCTTCCGTAGTTGGTCACGCCAGGTCGATTCCCATAGTGAAACACTTCACTTTGTTATCAAAGAACCGGGGTTTACATAACGTAACCCTACGTTTTAAGCCTAGTCTTAAAAGTAAACAGGGTGTCTGCCTCATGGACTACAAGGACAAACAAGTCCAGAGCAGACTGGACTCATTGAGTAAGTTGAGATCTTTCTGTGTTTGCTGTAAGATGTCTTATATCTTCTCTGTCTGTTGTGGAGAGTGCAGTGTGATCTGGAGTAGCTTCATTAGAGCCAGTGATTGTAAAAAGCTGATAAATTGCCCTTTTTCTACCACAAAAGAACCGGTAATAGTTTAGTGCTGGTTTCAGAGCTGGTGCTGGTTCTTTCAAAGAACTGTTTGCTTGCTTCACCCAAAGTGCTGCAACACAACTGTACCCCACATGCGGGCACTATGGAGGAGTTCATCAGACACTTGCAAGTGCTGCTATCTCACTTTCCTGAATTTGCAAAGATACAGTACATCACATGATCTTGGTGAACTGCAAGGCACAGAGTGGCGACTACATTTGAACAAAAGATGAATTTGCCACTTCCCTAAATAACGTTTTTAGCTTTTGTAAACCCGTCCTCACACCTTGGTTGCATCACCATGCAGACGGAGGTGAAAGTGAGCTAGGTTCCACTGCGGGGTGTGGAATGGGTCAGGGCGAGTCATTGTCGGCTGGTGTGGACCAGTATGGGTTTGTAATTTCAGTGGAGCGTTTTAGTAGCTGTTTGAACTCTCACTTGACAGGCAGGGTTAAACATGCAATTTCATAAATAAGTTGTGCAACTATTCAGTTTTTTGGTGCTGCAACGAATGGTCTGCAGAGCTAAAGACAAAAAAGAAATGCTTACCAACATGTTCCACATGTGACTAGCGGTTGCTGGGTCCAGCCATGCCTCACTGCCTCAGTTTGCCGTTCCGTGGTCATAAATAGTGTCAAGTTCATCGCATCACCTCCGTGTATTTCTCCCATTTCCTCTTGGGCTGTTGCCACCTTTAACCTTTTAATATTGGGCTTTTAATTTCTTCATCTTGGCCCGACACTCTTCCAGCGTCCACTCAAATCCTTCGGCTGCCATGCGCTGAGAAACTTCTTTAAACCCTTCTACAAAATTCCTTACCGATTCCCTAGCTCATCCTGAATGTGGCTAATGCAGACGATGATGAGGAATGTTTGAAGCTAAGAAGCTAGACCAGCTACTTGCTGGCATTTTCTCACATCTATGTACCACTAAAGAAAATACAAACAACGGAACTCCGGGGTTTGTTTTGCTTGTAGTGACGCATTTTTGTCCCCCAATCAGTGAACTATGTTGTTTCTTCGCCCTAACCGTTCCAATCCATTTCGCTATGAATCTACAACAGAAGAGGGCCACGAAAGTGCCATCAGTGGCACAGTCCAGGTCGGTTGTATGGACTCTTTTTACAATCAGGACAGAAAAAACAGCACCCTACCCCATCCTGAACCCTGCAGTGGAACTGAGGCAAGTGTTACTGATTAAACACCAGGGGCCTCATTTATAAAGCTTGCTCACTCACAAAACGGGGTTGGAAAACTACATAAGCAACTTTCCATGCAAACTTTGGGATTTATGAAAGAAAACTTAGCAGAAAAATGTGCGCAACTTTAAGTTGACTAAGGACCTGACTTACACACATTTTGGACATGGAGAGCACCTGCAGTGCTGCTGCTGAGAAGGATAAAGTTATGAAATCTTGCAGCATTATCACTTGTACTGCTTCGTTTTCACACAGAACAAGACCCCCTACAAGCAGTCACATGCGCGCACACTCACACACACACACACACACACACACACACACACACACACACACACACGCCCGCGCGTACACACAGCCTGAAGCGCAGAATACGGGAGGCAGAATATCAGCAGGGGGACAAATTGAGACAGAATTTCATGCGTCTGTGACAGTGTGTGTCCTGTCGCTGTGACCCGATTGATCATGCGCCCTGGCTACTTGTACAGGGGAGATCTCCGTTTGGCTGACTGGTTTCACTCGGGAGTCTGGGGATCGAATCCCAATTGGAGCATTTTTTTAAATATCCGCCACAGATCTCTCTGAAGAACTCACAACATTGACGGCTTCAGCAACGCTGCGCCACTCCGTGGATTTTCTCTTGTTTGTTTTGCAAAAGCACTTCCTTTCATATCTCCACCTCACCCACAGGTACCTCAAGTTCTGCTTCTGTGAAAGTGCGCTTCCTTTATCTGCCTTGATCGACGGTCGCCATGTCATTGGCGGAGCGCTGCAACAGTCGGCTTATGTATATGCATGAGATCCACAAGGCACTTTGCATTGACTATTTATGGCAGTAAGTGGGCGTGGTGAGGGCGGGATGTGACTAAAAAGCAGCTGAGAAACATTCTCGTTAGTCTCTGATTTATGAAGCGGAGATTGCGTGTAGCTGTGCGTACTCCATGTTTGATAGATCACAAACCTACTAGGCGTAAGTTCTTTTTTTTTTTTTTTGCTGAGCGTAAGTACGGTTTTAGTAAGGATTCTACGCAGTGTTTGATAAATGAGACCCCTGGACTCTGGCCCAGCAAGGAGTTGGTGCTAGGCTCTGTCACCAAACTAGCACTGAAACTGGCTCAGCGGAAAGAAGTAAAAGAAGGTTGGCTCTTATTTGGGAATGACTCTGGAGCCTCTAGAGCTGATTGGACAAAGAAAAATGCTTCAGAAAGTAGAGAACACAAATCCTGATGGTAGTTGTTACAAGACAGGAACTCAACAACAAAGTGTCTTAAGTCAGAGGCTTCTTCAGCTCAGCTACATCACAGGTCTTCCTGCCTATGGCTAAAGCCAAATATCAAAGATTTTTAAAGAATCTTAAAGGAGTTTCAGCATACAGCAGAGAAATATAAGTGGTTAAATGTTATAAAAAATGTCCTCTATAGCATGCTAATGGTGATTTTTTTAGGGTTTTATGTTTAAACTCTGATTTCCTTCATGTCTACCATCTGAAAGAACTCATGGTGTTTTTCTGTCTTTCTGTTCTCCAAATTCTGATGTGTCCTCCCTTCCTCGTTCCACCAGCCTGTCCTAACTGTCGTTTCCAGTATGCTCTATCGAAAGGAGGCTGTATGCATTTCTGCTGCTCCCAGTGTCGATACCAGTTCTGCAGTGGCTGTAACAACCCATTTCACACGGTAAGTCTCCAACAGTGTCTTCATCAGAACGTTTGTAGAACACATTCTGGTCTTCATAACAGTCCCACCTTTCCATGTTGGACCTTTTAGGGACTTGGGCATTTTCTTTAAAAGTGATCAAGTGTCATGTTTAGTATGTCTACTCGATAGAGCCTGAGCTCACTAACAAAATGACGCCTCATTTGTCAAAATCCACCCAGCCAATCCAGAGACATTAAACCTGTAACAATCCAAATTAATGCCCATTTGTTTCCATTGGAAATGCATTAAAACCTGTAATCAAATTTTGATTAGCTGTCTAGTTCATCGTAGAAAAGAGGCCATATTTTAGTTATTAATAAAGATAATTGGTTGAAATTTTCAGGAGATGTCAACAGAAGAGAATGTAATAGAATTTAGCTAAACTGCACCAAAATGAACTCATAGAAACCCATCAATTTACTCCAAAGTTGATTCACAACTGAAATTACATGGCTACTTGTTTACAAACACAACGCCGCTGTCCAATCAGATGACATCATTTTGGTCACGTGACCTATATTGGCAGCTAACAGTCATCCATTCGAGGCTTAAAAACACTTTCTACTCTTCAGTATGCATTAAAACTTTGTCAAACACCAGATTAAAATATATTCATATATCCTATATACCTTTCTATACATTCTAAGAGTTCCGTCATAGTTTTGAAGACGGTTGAATGTGAGCAAAAATTTCAACCGTGTCAAACTTCATCAAAGACGCACCAATGGGGACGAAATCGGCAACGAGGTTGAAGAGGGGGGTTTCCCCTATGTCATACCAAAGAATCACAGGGACCTACCTCCTCTAAGCCAATGAAAACACAGAATTCTGAGATGAGCTCCCTGGCACCCTGTGATCCTCACGCACAAGTAACAGTGGAGAAAATGGCCGCAGCTGAGTGTCAGGATTTCCAAGTACCTAGACCTTTCTTCATCCTGGTTTCTTTGGTTGTTGCGTGTTTGTCACACTTAAACATTTTCCATCATCAAACCAATTTAAACATTAGCAACGACAAAATCTGGAGTTTGGTAAGTCACGTTGATCCCTAGTCCCCCCAACTTCTGGGTTGCCTGGTTCTGGTCCTTGTTGCCTCTGTGCTGTTCTCATTTAAATAAAAATAAATGATTACGATTAATTTTCATTTCTTCTGACTTGGTAAAATGTTTCAGTGGCAGGTCTGTGTCTGGTCCTCATATCTGATCATTCACGACACTTTTCAATACACTCTTCACTACCTTCAGCGATAGCCATATACAGGACGACGGTACGCATTTAGTAGGCTGAAGGCGACTGAAACACCCTCCTGAAATATCGGACCCATACCCCCACCCCAATGGAACTGAAGTCCACTATGGTTCAGGTGATTGTGGCCGAAATGCAAATGGAAGGTTGTGGACATCACAATAACAGAACAGCTTTTCTTACAATGAGCAGGTCTACGTTAAATACCGTGTTGCTCACCTGATATGATGTCTCACCTGCCCAGAGTGAAAGAAAAGTTAATTAAATAATCAAACACGTTACTGGTGTCTCCTCTTCCTCACACATCAGACTTGCACAGTGGATGAGTGCAGCGTGTCTGGTCTTCATGCTCACCATCCCAGAGACTGCTTGTTCTATCTGAGGGACTGGGAACCTGCCAGACTGCAGGTCTTACTGCAGGTACACACACACACACACACACACACACACACACACACACACACACACACACACACACACACACACACACACACACACACACACACACACACACACACACCAGGCCCCCAGCCTGTCTCTGAAACTTAATGCTGTTAACTTAAATTTAACAGATGCTGTTAATTTACTTGAGCAAGTATTCGACATCTCTGAGTTGCATGAAGGTTGATGGATGTCATCGTTTCAGCTCATGTTCCAGCTAACCAGCCTGGTTTAGTGGAACCAGATGACATAACTGGGTTAAGTGATCAGAACAAGTTTTTGGGGCAGCAGTAGCTCAGGTGGTAGAGCGGGTTGCCTCATGATCGGAGGGTCATGGGCTCGATTCCAGCTCCCGCCAGGGGTATCCTGCTGTTGTGTCCTTGGGCAAGACACTTCACCCAACTTGCCTGTGTTAGTGGTGGTCAGAGGGGCCGACGGCGCCAAATGGCAGCCTCGCCTCTGTCAGACCCTCCCAGGGTGGCTGTGGCTATAAGTAGCTTACCATCGCTAGCAGTGTGTGAATGTGAGAGTGTGTGAAAGCGTCTTTGGGTGTCTAGAAAAGCGCTATATAAGTTCAATGCATTATTATTATTATTATTATTATTATTAATAGTGGAACCAGATGACATAACTGGGTTAAGTGATGAGAACACGTTTTTATTTAAATTAACAAACAAATTCAACTCACTCCACTTTACTGAATCAGAATTGAAATCAAATTTCAGATCGGCATTTTGTGGCATTTTATTAAAAATAAAACAAACTGAAAAATCTATTTTGTAACATTAATTTTTCAAAGTTGGTTCTGTGTGGTAGTTACTGATGAGCCCATCAGCTTCAGAAGAACCAAAGTAAAGTGCCACAGCTAGTGGATCAGAGTGATCTAAAGTGTGTCTTTGTGAACCATTCTCTGCTCCTTGTTCTGATTTGATGTTTTATTGTGGAAGGTGTTTTTGCTGTTTTCCCTCCTGTTTTCTGGTGTGACCCACTGACTAACTTTTCCATTTCTGTACTTGCTCTCAGATTAACGGAGTCAATTTTAACACTGAACCACCTCCTGGAACACAGACAGGTAGGTCTTACCCCACTCCAAACTTGGTAGAAGTTTGATTATTTACTTCTTATCATGTACTAATAACTGTAAGTTCGATAGGGAACAACGAAACAAGCCTGAGGTAAAGCTGCAATCCAGAGTTTCCCAAATTTTGTACGATTTCTTTACAAATCCATTAGTGATACTCTTAGTCAGTACCCATAATGTAGGCAATATATCTTTTTTTTGCTAAGCCCGCCCCCTCCTTCGCATAGAGCCCCATGCAGTTTGAGTTTACCGCAGTTCAGCGTTAGACATCTGCTTACATACAGATGTCAATCATAGTGTGCAAGCGTTTGAAGATGTACCTAGACAGATGCAGAGTTGGCTTTCTCGTGGACAAGTAAGTCTTTAAATTATATTTATTTATGAATAAAAACTACAACATGAGAATAAAACAATGCTATTTACCGCTGTTGGCCGGCTAGAGGGGCACTTTCATGAAGGAGGGGTGTTGCTTCCAGCTGTAATCGCGGAAGTGATTAGAACGGCTTAAGGTGCAATACATTGGGCAGCCTGTACATGGTGCTGTCAGGCAAAAGTCAAACCTCCAGACTGTAGGGGTAAGTCTTTGTAGAGGCTTGTGCTCAGCATTGGAAAAGTGAGTCCCCCTCTCTCTTCCAGGACTGTGTGGAGTGATAGAGCAGAAAGACGACGGGGGGGAGCAATCCGATTCAGCCTGTGGAGCTCAGACCCAACCTGGACATGCAGCGCTCTGCGAGTATGTTGGCCCAGTTCATGAGTGGAACCAGAAAAAGTCATGAACACTGTCCAAACCAAATGCAGCTCAGAACTGATTTCCATGCTGTTTAGATTAGGAGTTTCCTACCCTGGTCCAGGAGGGCCACCATCTATCATGTTGTAAATGTTTCTCTGCTCCAACACACCTGATTCAATTAATCAATCAATCAATCAATCAAAGATACTTTATTAATCCCAGAGGGAAATTAGAGTTTCAGTACACACAATTCAGAGATCAGACATACATGGGCAAGACACATGACAAGAATTGGTGACTGTGGTCATTCGCAACCCTGAGTCGCGCTACCTTAATAGAGATCAGAGGGTTACATGAGGATTGGTTCAGGTGGAGGGGAAAAAAGGCACTTCAGAGTTACCCTCCACCAGGAGGGCAGCTTTGCTCTGCAAAAAAAAACACCTCAGACAGATATGCAACAGACTTCAGACAACATGACATAAGTGTCCACTAGGTGGGGAGGTGAGTTGGGACTATCCTCACTTCAGTTCCTGCAGCCACGATGAAGCAGCGCATGTCACCTCAGTGTGGATAGGGGGAGGAGCATTGAGGGTTGGAGGGTTGTAGTGACTCAGGAACGTTTCAGGTGCCTTCCAACTGTCCCGCCCAGGCTAGGAAAGGAGACAGAGTTGCGTTGCCATAGCGACGGCACATTCCACATATCTTCAGGGGGGTTCGTTGGAGCCTTGCAGGCTCAAGGACGCCAGATTCCGATTAGAAATTGTTTTGGGGCCAGACAGAGATAATTTCCTCTCTGTCTTACAGTTTGTTGGTCCTCAACCTCTCAAAATCCCAATAATGGACATTAATCCCAATCCGTGCTGATTCGTCCACTCTCTCCTTGATGGCATCCATCTTTTGTGCCAAAGAATGAATCTCTGCCAAAGTCCCAAGCTTACGATTCATCTCAACAATTATGCGAGTCTGTGAATTCACAGCGCGGTGCAAACCATCTCTGAGCTCCGGGATCAGGCCAATATTCCTCGACAGCTCGTAAATTTTCCGGTAAGCCAGGTAGCCTCCAAGGCCAATGAGCAGGAAACCCGACACCAACACCACGAATATCCACACATCTTCAGAGTCCTCCATAGACAGCTGAGTTAAACAAATCAAGTTCCACTAATTCCAGGAGTCCATGATGTGTCCAACTGGGTCTGTCCCAGAGGGGCATCCGGGAGCCCCTTCTCCCGTTCTCAT